AACTATGAAGCCAAGGCCCTGGTGCAGGTATCCCTCTCCCTTCAGGTTGCCTGGAGGCTGAGAAGGGGTGTGGCTCCTGGCTCTGGGGACCACAGCCAAGCTCCAGGAGCAACTTCTGCCTCCCCTCCTGCCCTCAGCGAGCCCAGAAGCTGACAAAGGGGTGTGGCTCCTGGCTCTGGGGGTGAACCCAAGCCCAGGTGCAGGCTTCCCTCAGCCAGAAGGGAGGCTGAGAAGTGGGAGTGGTTAGGAGATTCCAGCCATGCTCCCAACTGGAGGTGGGGGGCAGAGTAAAGCCCCCAGTTCCAGCTTCCTCTCCTCACCTCCAGGCTACCTCCAGCTACAGGTCTGGTGCCAGGTGGGAGGTGTAGGTTTTCCCACCTGACACCCCTTGCTCAGTCCACAGGGAAGCTGAGGTGAAGACATGGCTTGGGAAATCAGAGGGCTCCAGTTCTCTGCAGTGGCCAGCAGGCTGGGAGGCTTGCTCAAGCATGCCCCTGGCTATTTGTATGGGCCACTGCAGGAGTCTGGCAGGAGTCTGGCTCCTTTTCCTGTTTGATAAGTGAACGTCAGTTCACTTGCTTATTGGAATCTATGCAGTTTAAAAAAACCCTGCAAAGATTGGATTGATTCAGCCTCGAGCTTTTTTGACCATTTCTACTTAGCCAGGAAGGGTATGGGGCTAATTTGTCTCTCACCTGTCACAAAGATGGACTCCCACTGACATAGATATTCTATCACAGAGAGCACAGGCTACCTACGTTACAGGATATGAAGTAAAATGGTAATTTGTTATTGGTTCCACAATTCCCTCATACTTAGTTCTACAATGGACTTTATTTTCTATAAGCCTAAACATTAACATTTTTAAGGAACTGAGGATGTGGCTTATTTTACAACTGAATTTAAATTTCAAATATGATTCCTAGGTAACATAAAATCACGCCAAGACCTGTTCTACTACTTGCTTATTATTACTGTTATAAGTAAAAATCTGATCTCATCAGTGCAGATGTGACACTGTTTAGAGAGTTGAACTATCGGAACCAGCTAGGCAATTTTGCTATACAACCCCAGGTAAACTTATTAGTAAGATCATTCATTCTAATCTACAGACTTAATGCGTTTCTCTGGACTTTGATGCTCTTTGTCTGATGTGAAAGGGTTTTAAAAATTGAAATTGTTTTGCTACTTTGAAAGAATCAAGAAAAACTGTCACAAAGTTTGTGTGTTTAGAGGTATTTCATTGGATCACTTCATGCATTTTAAACCAATAGCACCAATGAAAACTGTTATGCCACAAATCAAAAACAACAAGGAAAAAACTACAGCTCATACTGTTCTGATTCAGTGTATCCTTTTAAATTCTCTAGTGCAAAGACAGCATCTCATCAGTTAAGTTTCATTCAGGTACATTATATTTGATATAAAATGTTGCTGGAGGGCATAATGAAGTATAATAAAAAATTTGTACAGGGGAAGGGACATGATGTACAATTTCATTAGGCCCAAAGCTGTAAATGGAGCCCTACAGGGAACAAAGAAACATATTTTTAACAAATGCTTGCTGTATTAATAACAGAATCTGGGAACATTTTTGTCAGTTAACTTGCTTGCAAGAATAGTTTTTAATTAACAAAATATATTGATTTTCACTTTTCTTAATGAAAAGCAAATAACCTACACCAGGGAAAACAAATTATTCCTTTTTAAAATTAGAATTATATTCCTTTTGTTATTAAACTTCCCTATACAAAATATATTCTTTTAATTGTGGTAGTTAACAGTCCTAAGGTCACCAGAAGCTAACATGAGACTCTGAAGTAGCAACAATACCAAGGGACTTATTTCTCATTGTCCAGCACATGTAACAGTTTGCTTTTACTTACTTATCCAGTTTTGAAAAAATGTTACACGCCAGGACATACAACATTCACTTTAAGTCAGCATATTAGAATATACTGTTATTCTTAAATTAAATTAAATTAAATTTTAGGGAAAAAAAAATACATTGAACACATTCCATTTAATTTCAAAATTAAAGTTTTCTGGTCCCTAGCAAGTAATAGTGATCTTTACCCTGAACTAGAATAATACCTCAGTTATCTGAGTCTTGTATTCAAAGCCTCTACCATTGAAAACAAGGCTATTGCTATTGATAGAGCCTAGTCAACTTGAAAATCCACTAGTTTATTCTAAACATCAGCTACCTCTTAAGCTACAATACCTCTTAAGATATTCAGCTGATCATGTTTCAGCACCAATATCATATATTTTCTATCTCAAAGTCTCTGTGAATGTGTTACAAACTAAGTGCTTTCAGGGGAAAAGTCAGCTTATATTTAAAATAATTAATAGTTTATCAAAATAGAAAACATTCTAGACATTGCTTGTGCATACATGCTGATGTGCCAGTGCACCTCTATCTCCAATTTACAGAGAACATAATAATACATACCACAGTTTGGTGGTTAACTTGAATCACTTCATCTCCAGCATGGATTTTCTTGCACCGATCTGCAGGTGACTGAATTTAAAATAAAAGAGATGATAAAGAATACAGTCCTTACTGGTCATCATCTCTCTTTTAGTAGTGTGACTGTTAAGCTATGCACATCAGGTTAGATCTATAATTACATTCTATAGTTACTTAAAACTCAATAAAATATTTAATAACAGCATTCATTGTTGTTTCAGAAAATAATCTATATTACTGCAAATAAGACAGTCAAATGGAAAAAGGTATGAATACTTATGTTATAAAAGTTTAATCAGTTTCTAGGGAAGTTATAAAAGTTTAATCAGTTTTAAATTCTAGTAACTGATAAATTTGTTTTACCTGCCTAACACTTGAATGAATACCTTAGCAGTGAATCTTTTGCAAAAGGTCAGCTGTCAGGAACTCAAATGGGCAATTGCTTCATAAAAACATTTAACAGAGAGTGCCTTTTATTCTAATCAAATTCTTTAAACAAATATTTCAAGTGAACTTTAGCAAATCAGTATATTTGAAAGTGTGCTTGCATATACAATAAGAGCCAAAATAAGAACACAGTTAAGTTGTTAATTTATATTTCAATTATTACTTAGTGTAAGAGAAGCAACTACAAGACCCAGCATATTATGAATCCATGCCTTTAAAGATGAGTTAGTAGAGGCAGTTTTTCTCCTTTAAATTACACCCTCATTTTAAAATCTTTACAAAATTTTCTCCTAATTCTGCCTGTAATAATTGCAATATTTCACTGGGGCTCTGCATAAGTGCACCAATATACCTGCTTCCTATCAAAAGCAGGATCAAGACCACAGTATGAAAAAGCCAGAGGTGTATTTCTCGGGAACTCAAAGAAGTTGCTAAGATTTTTATAACAAAGGGATGGAACCAATAACATTGACATACATCGCTTTCTGGCTCTGCTGAGATTATTATAATCTAGAGAGAATATTCTCAAACTCTGGAATTTGACTTTTTCAAAATAACTGAGTATCATATTGTCTGTCTGTCAAAATGTGCATGTTCAGCAGTTTTGCTATTAACTTGTGCTGTGCTATAATTCTGCAGATCTCATCATTTAAACGAAATAGCATTTGGAAAGAAGATTCACAAGAAAAATGTAGGTGTTGTACAAAGTGGTATTCCTGATTCAGTGGGTGGCCCTATATAAAACAGTACTCAGAATTTCTCACATAATGTTGAGCAGGTGAAGGTGCCACTTTGCATTACATCAACACATGATAATTTACTGTATTATTTCAATATCAGACATTAGGTCTGGTCATTTGGATAAACTTTGAATGTAATAATCTTCTTGATGTACTTGATGTAATAAGTACTTGATGGTAATTATTCAGTTTCTTCCCTAAACAGTTCTATGGTCTTGCTGCATAATGTTACCATACATCATCTCAGTTGTGATCAATCATACTTATACTTGATCCATGTAGATCCTTGCATGAACATCCTTTGAAGTCAATGACAGACTGCGACAATACAAAATGCCTCCACTGCTTGCATGCTTTCAAAAAAGCTCTCTAAAAGCTTTTCTTTGTGTGTTGTTATATATGTATATTGATATAGGTATTAGCACACATAGTAGTTCACCAAGTCTGAAATATGTTCTGGAAATCTTGAGGTTGAAAAAATCTAAATAAAAGACCAAAAATGAACAGTATAAAATTATGTAAATATTCTTCATACAGAAGTTCCAAGTATTGCAGCATTCTTATTAGGAGGTTGTAGATCTTGTGCTTAGCTGAGTTTTTTTCCAAGTAGGAATTACTACATACAGCTGTACTGATGACTTTTCAGAGTTTAGTGAAAGTAGAGATTATTTAAAGTAATTTTTTTAATAACTTGTTTCCATAGCTGTACATAGGTGATTGTTACAGTGCATACATAAACAACCCAGTTTTGAAGCATTTGATATGGATTCTCTAACCTGAAAAGTGTATCATGATAACATTTTAAAATATAATTTTTGGTCAAAATAATTCATTTGCAGATACTTAGACCTTTTAATCAGATTTCCTGTTAACTACTTAATCAAATCACGTAAGTCTCATATTTGGTTTAACTATTTACTTTGTAAATTATAAGAAGGTCCCCACAAGATGGCCTATAGGGATAATTTACAAAAAAAAAATGTATATAATTCAAGCTGGTATGATAAATGAATTATTCCTATGTAACTGACACTTTCCAGCAAAGGTCAGAGAAATAAACTTGAACTAGGAAGGTCAACATGCTTGTGCTCTGTAGGACTACCATGGAAAGCACATTTAAGGGAAAAGATCCCTTACATGGAGAACCAGCCATTCTCTTAAGAGTTGAAATCTAGGGAGTCAGAGCAGAAGTAGCCCAGCTGATCTGAAAGGTGAGGTTAGTGTACTTGGAGAGGTGGTCTCTATGACCAAATCACGAAGGGCTGAACTGTTGGAAAACTAATGTTTCCATCTGTACCAAGAAGACTAGCAAAACTTGAAGGATAATAAAATGTAATATACACCCCACAAGGCCAGAACAGCTGATTATGTCAGTCACTGTATTTTGCACAGTCAAGAGGTTCTTAGTGGTCTTCTAGAGTAATGCATAAATACAGTTTAGAGGTTACAATGCTGTGGAGTGGTCTATATCAGAAAGAAAAGAGCAAAACTATTAGTCAAATGCATCTGGAAAGGGTCATGGGCTCTCACATGGCCCTAGGAATCCAGTAGCACCCCAGCATGTAAATGTGTCATGGGAAAAGGATAACATGCTAACAGGCACCAGTCCTATTCTGTAGATGGTTCCTCCTGCCCATGACTATTACTCCAGCCTTTTCCACAGTAAGCAAGGTTCACTTGACAGAAGTCGACACCTCTCCCTTAAGAGAAGTTAACATCTATGGATTTCATTAACCAGGAATAACTCTGGGTCCCTTCCCGGTCAGTAGGCTGAAGGTTCTCTAGGGCTACTTTATAATTGTATTGATGCCCCACAAAGAAGGTTGGAGCAAAATCTTAGGACCTCAAGAGAATGCATTAACAGATTAAATTCTCTCTCTCTCTCGAACTTCAATTCTGTGGAATGAAACATCATAGAAATTCCCAGAATGAGAAGTTCACATTTTTTTAAGCATGTGTTTACTAATAAGAGAAATTCAACTTTCAGAACTGGTGTCTCATTTTTCCTGTGTTTTCATGGGTTGGGCTGACTTGGAAAAAAAACAACTGCGTTTGTGAAGCTGCAGTCCTTCGGATGGCTTATGTTTTTTCTCATTCAGGGAGGAGAGTATTCATAGAGGTCCTACAATAGACATATGCTAGGATATAGCACTTTAACATTCTACCTGAAGCATGAAAAATATATTTGCTAGAGTTTCTAAGGACTTGTGAAAGCATAAGCTGAGAAGCCCTATATACATTCTTATTCAACAAGAAATATTTCTAGAGCTCCCATGCAAAAAGCAGTGCAACAGTCTTAAATATATGCAACTGCATATATTTATCAAACAATGATATAGTCGCAGAGGAGAGGAGGCATTTCCTGTAGGGTTGCTTGTTTGTTTGTTTGGTTGGTTTTTTGGGGGGGAGGGTTGGCATCAGGTCCTCAAAGTTTTCTACAGGAACTCAAACTGTTATGAAAGTTGCTCAGTCCTGCATCAGTGCCTGTTCCCTAGCTATTCAAGGTTAATCACCAAAGTTCCCCCAAAATACCTACTTGCCATCTCCCTATTGAATAGCTAATTCTGTACCAAAGGGACCAGAAGAAAAAGGAGAAAGTAAATTTAAAAGGCAGCTGAAATACATGCTACTGCATGTTGCTTATAGTTCTCTTTGCCATTGGTAAGTGCATATCACATTAAGTGCGTCTTACTACAGACGTTACACAGAAGCCAATAAAGAAATATACGGTAATACATCAACTTTAAAGAATGCCCTTAATTCCCATGCATTTACTTCTATTACAAAATAAAGCTTGATAGATGTAATACAAAAAATCTATTTTTTTTTGCCACAGCAAACTCCAGCATCAGTCAAAATATATTAAAAACATTTATCTTTTATCCACAGTACACAAGAACCTCAACAAGAGAGCTCTCTTCTAACATGATCAAGCATTTTAATTGCTTCACAAAAATGAACTAAAACTCCTGATCACATCTAAGACCAACAACTTCCAATTCTGAGATTAATAAAAAAGCAATCTTTTTGGCCTATGACATGCTAGGGAACCTTCATAGCCAACCAGTACCTTTTTACAAGCAAAGTACTGCCTGTAGCAGAGGGAAAGCATAAACCAAATGCAGGGTCAAATATAAGCGTCCAGGCCTGAACACACAGCATTAACAATACTTACATTTTCTGTTGTTCCAGTAATTACATGGAGACCATCATATGTTGATTTAATGTACATACCCTAAGAAAAAGACATCATGGGAAAGAATTTGTAAAGTGTTTCACAAACTATTTCCATCCAAAACATCATCTGTATATCTTAAAATGAAAGGCCTATTAATTTAGAACTCAAAAAATGTATACATGCCATCAGGGATACCTCTCCAGATAGAAAAGTGTTTTCTTATAAATAAATAAAAAAAGAAAACTATGAGCCTGAGTGATTCTACTGTCTACGCATTAGTTGCAGTTTAAAGATGTACCAGTACATTTGTAAATGCTCATAGCTTTTCTGAGAAATCCCCTACACTCTAAAATAGCACATCAGTGGCATCTGTTTAGCAAGGCAAAATTAAAAGCTGTTGTGCCAGCTGCTGCTTTGGCCATTATTCTGAAGGCTACAACAATCTAAGATTTCCTAGAAATTTAATTCTCTAGATATTAAGGTTGCAAACATAACTTTCAAAATGTGAATCCAGTGGTAGCCAATACTTTGTTGTGTCTGAAAAAATAGCTCTAACCCACTACTGCCTCAGTCATATCAGTAAGTAAACTCTAAAGCTGAATTATGAAAAGCTGAATTTCAAAAAAGAAAGATTAATATATCATAAGATCTGCAAACCATACCGTGAGTGATCTCAAAACTGCACAAATATTTATTTGTGGGTTGAGCTTGGACCAGTACCCCCAAATCTCTTCCCTTAAGTCAACACCTAGACAAAATTGGCAAATATTTTTATGGCAGTCAGTGAATCAGAAATGGGACAAGGTATCTACCACAAAAGAGGTGATTAAGTGCATGCATCCTCACATTCCATATGTTCTTCATTCTCTATAGAGAATGCTCTATTGTTAGCACGAGGAGAGAGAGGAAGCAAACAATTCAGAGACACCTCCTTTTCTCTTGACCGCTTTACAGAAATGAGGAAAGGCCAGATGAGTATTCCTTCCAGTCTGGCCCCTTTAGTACTACCAGGAAAACATAACTGATATTTTTCCCCCAAAATGATATGTTGTTTTCTCCCTTGCATCTGTGGCACAACAGTCGGGCATGCATCCCTCACAGAGGAACTCCAGTGGAAAGGCTCTGCCAGGAAGGGGGATCACCATGGTCCAAAGACAGTAAGAAGGAACAAGCCCTCCATTTGCCAACAAATCACATGGATTTCCTAAGGTATGCATAGCTTTTTTGGTGTTGGACACAAACAAACAAGTAAAAGTGCATGTTAAGGTGAATATTCCCTAAAAGGACCCTTTGGGCAGGTCTACGCTGCCTCTGTGGTAAGCCCATGAGCACTGCTAAGAAACATACCCCATCTACTCACTCCTGCTCATTTTGCACCAAAACCAGGATTTAGGCAGTGTAGATGGTTTAGCATAATCTTGAGCGAATGCCAAGAAGAACAGTACTAAGTACTGTAACTACTGTTACCTGAGAAAGAACACAAGGGCAACTCTGGGCATGACTTAAGGGCAGTGCTAAAGCAGCTACACTGCTTCATTTTTGGTCTTTGATGTACACTGAGCTAGAGTGAGTGGGTGGAACATGTTTCTAGGTGGCACTCTGGGGTTTCCCTCAGGACGGACATGAACTGAGAATTAACCCCTCTGTTACTTTATAAATGTAGAGCACAGTCTACAGCAGTAAGTCACGGACAATGTCCTTATTGTTCATACCAGACTGCCATGGCTAGAGGAAGGCAAAG